AGAGAGAGAGAGAGAGAGAGAGAGAGAGAGAGAGAATGAGAGAGAGAGAATGAGAGAGAAAGAGAGAATGAGAGAGAAAGAGAAAAGAGAAAGTCTGTAACTTCTTGTCAGAAGATATATTCTAAAGACAGACACTTGTGCCCCTCCCTTTTGCTAGTAGAATAGTGAAATAATCACAATCTTCCCAGGAATCTCATGCTGGGGGAAGGGAAAGGTTGAAGGAGGAACCTGCTTTCTGAGAAGAAATTTCACACTGTTTTGACCACTTATGGTCAGACCACCTTGCGGGACGCATTAGAGCCTAGTGATGTGTCAATGATAGGCCAGATCACACACAACCAGCACTGCTTAGCTACACATACTTTTTGCTCTCTATTCAATCCTAATCCTCATGTTAGATGGACTTGAGGGTCACTAGACCTCTTTATTTGTTCCTCTTCTCAATGTGGCCACGTAGAGTAAATCTCCTTTCTCTGCTTTTCACTATTACTTGTGTGTTTAATTGGCATAAGTAGAGACAGGTGGTAGATCCGATCTTGTTAGGACTGCCAGAGCCCAGGCTTTGATCCTAAAATCTCCAGTAACAGGCTCTCTGTCCAGAGCCATCCAGAGCTTTCCATTGTCAGTGCTCTTGGCTATTTCTTTCTGGTTGAGCCCAGGGCTGGTATGCCGGGAGCTGCTTGAAGTGTTAATTGTTCACTGCTTTCCCATGATGGCCTGGGGCAGATCCGCTTCTTTTCCTAAGCAATGTGTAGCAAGACTTATCTCGCTAATCCAGAAATACCAAACCTGAGTGATTCCAGGGCTCAGGGTAAGAAAAGAGAACTAGGATCTGGGAAGCAAGGGAGAGAAAGGCATTTTGCAAATAGCTATTGGCTCTCTGGTAAAAGAGGCCACCACCTGGTTTGTGAAGCATGGAGAAAACAGCAAGGTTTAGACTGCTTAGCTTAAATACACAGCTGCCCCACCTCTCAGCAGCATCTGCTTCTGCATAAAAGACCTATTCTCTCTTTCAATCCTGCCTTCATTTTGTGTCAAGACTTTGGACTCCTTTAATGAACCTTTCTCCTGTCTCACCAGCTATTCCCTACTGACTATCTCCACCTTTCAAATTCACAGCAGAAAATGGAAGTTTTCCTCGACCCTATCCATCCCCCTTGGTCCTTTCCCTTTCTGTTCCTCTTTACAAGAAGAAATTTCAAAGCAGATTTCTCTAGTTCACCTGCAATTCTCTCAATCCTCTTCTATCAAGTCCTTCTACTTCTGTCCACTGGCATGGTCGGATTCTCCTGGATTTTTGCCTCTGCTCCTTCTGTCTGGAAAGTTTTCCTTGGTTCTTTATATGGTGCTGCTTTTATACCGTCCAGGGCATAAATTAAATGCCACCTTCTTACCCACATTATTTGCAACCCCATCTTATCCTGCCGTTTATCCAAGTGTGATTACTTTCTCGCTTACTTATATTCTCTCTAGCTCCACTAGTAAGGGAGAGTGTGTGCACAACTGTGCTTGTATCTACAGCATTTGGCATAGTACTTGGCACATGGTGATGGCTCACTGAACTGGAGGAGTGAAAGAAGGAGTCACTATGTGAAGCTCTGTCCTAAGTGCTTTAGGAGTGATGGAAAACCCTCTGGGAAAAGGCTCTTTTCCTTCTGTTCTGCATGTTAGTAAGGGGGAGAGGTCGTCGGTGGGTCTCTCAGCATGAGAACCAAGAGATCTGCAATCGCGGGCTGTAATGGGGTGTGCAGGTCAGCGGGGCCCCTGGAGAGGCGAGAGGCCACCTTGGCTGCCTCTCTTTGTTGCTCCCACCTCCCAGGCTCTGGCCGCGGCTGCCTGCAGTGACTCGTGACTCCCCGGCAGCCCGTGAAGGCCTGCGTCCGCTAGGGAGGGGGCGGCGAGCGCCCCCAGCCCGCCCTCCGGGTGCCCTTCCCAAGCTAGCGGGTGCTCCGGGAA